ATGGCATTTGATAGCCATCGAGCTATTGGCAGGTGACTAACCACGCCAAAGGAGCCCACACAAGACACAGGATTCTAATCATTACGCATGGGTTGCAGATCAACTACCTCAGATCGTCGCCAGCCCCGAAGTGCTCGAATATCTCCAATCTCAGAAACTTCCTGATCATCTGGGTCCACAGTACGGCCTCGGTGCGCGGTATAATTTTTGCCTCTTTGTGGATGATTTCTGCTTAGAGTCGATCAAGTATATCAATGATTATAGGTTCGACCCTGTTGTCAATGTTTTGTTAGGGTTCTGGGGCAATTTAACCTCCCAGGAGAGGGAATACCAAATTCATCCTGATTGGCATGATGGAGAAACAGATGACGAACTCGAAATGGTCGGCTGGATGTATATTCCCATACAAAGTTATGTGTGGTGGTATGATGCTCTGGAACAGCCGGGGGATTGGGATGATTATTATGTACGGCCACCCTTGATGTTTAACGGATTCAGTGTATTATTACACCTAGACGAAGAGCTCGCTCAAATTGACAGTGAGTCCTGAGGTATGGGGTACCCTTTCTCGTTGTTATCTATATGTGGTTTCTGGTTATGGTATAAATGCTACAGGGGGATTGAACTCACAATTTCAACGTCGTATATCATTTGTTTATAATATAGTAACATTCATTGAGCACGAATTTTGGAATGATTAGTTCAAGAGAACCCATCAGTAGAGCAAGGAGAAGGATCAAGACTGCATCCGCCTCCTTGTCTAGTTAGCAATGCGGAGAGGGCTTGGCGGCAAGCACAACTCCGCGGAAGCGCACCTTCATCACGAAGTATGCAGTCAAGCCCGATGCTGTACAATATACTCACGTCGACAGGCAAACCCAAGTGACTCGAAACACAACTTTCACCTTTGAATCTAGACTGGGTTGCATTGTTACTAGGTTGTATCTTTAGCGCGAGAACTAAGCCTTTGCCAACCCCGTTGGGCAAGTCGTACGAACCTTGGAATGATACAGTGCGAGTCAGCGAGTCAGCCGGTCCGACTTCAACCCGGAATAACAAGAATGCAAGAGATTGCAGGGATTGTTCTCTTGCCGTAGGAGGTAGGAGGTAGGAGGTAGGAGGTAGGAGATAGGAGACAGAAACGGGGTTGTATACCTACAACCTATGTTGTAGGCTTCGCTTTGACAGTGGATCAGGAGACAAGCAAAGTCGGTGAGAGTAGGAAGTATTCCGTATGGCGTACGTCGAATACGAAGATAGTACTCCGTACTAGCATCACCCAATTGTTAGACCAAGACTAGTGGATTGGTTCTCCATCGGAGCTCCGAAACCTCGAGATCATCCAATTCGTGTCTGAAAGGGGACAGCCGTGGCCGGCCGTACGTTGTGGGTTCTCATTATGTAATAGCGCCTGGATCCCCGCATGATCGGCTCCGAGAGAGGCGAGTTCTTGGGTTGTCGATGTACATGGGAGGTTTAGCTGCATGGATGGTAATGCGTTAGGTAAAAAGAACTCTGGGGTAGAGGAATCAGGATGCATGGGATTTGATCTGCTGACGTGTGGATATAAGATTTATTATTGCAGAGCGAAGCGAAGCAATTATATCATACTACTAACTATTATTGTCTTATACTATGTTATAGTTATTCTATTTTATCTATTTTATATGTATCGTAAATGTAAATGTAAATGTACTAAATAGAATGACGGCATGTTTCCGCATGCGTCAAAAAAAGCAACTGGAGTCTGCAGGGGTAGTTCGAACTAACAGAACTTAATAGTTTAGTGATATAAGAAGTATAGATGTAGTTACTATAGAATTTATATTTATATTGATATATTTATATATAGATTACCTTGAGAATACTAAGAATACTATAAGAATACAATACAGATCCGTAATCAATCAGTTTATACAAGTCGCCCCATGTGGCCATGACCCATGGCGCATTTCTTAGCATTTCGTACTCTTCGACCTTCCACTTCACCTCCATTCTGTACTTCGCCCAAAGAACCCCATAAACTCTTAAACCCTCCTCTTCCGATCGGAGAAAACCCTGATATTACCTCCAAATTCGTGTAACGTCGGTTCATCCGTTTCTGTGACTAACAGCTTCGTTTTTTTTCTTCCCCGCCGCCCCTCTGGGCCCTAAACTTGCCCTGTCTCAATACTTCTTTGATTTGCCCGGGGCTTTTTTCTTTTCTTTTTCCAATTTGGAGTCCTTTCTCGTTTAAATTTCGGTATACCTTATTATTTTTTCGTTTTGCCTGCTCCAAGGTACTCCGCGACTAGTCACTGTACACTTAGAGCCCTTTATAGAGGGCCTCTTCCTCTGCACCATGACCTCCGTTACTCCTGCTCCTTCGCAGACCAAGCCAGCCTTCCCCCGACTTTCTTCAATCCCCTGTGGTGATCACTTTCACTCTCGCGAGTCGTCTCCCTCGCCCTGCAGTACCCCGGACGGGTCCAGGTCGAGCAGCCAACGTCGTCCCTCATTCGGTTCTATCAAAGAAGATACGGAGGACGGTACGTACCGCAGATGTGCGAATCCAGGCTGGAGGCTGACGTGATCATGGGTAATCTTAGGAATCGCGCAATCGTTCGTGGACACGCACGAAGTACCATCTCCCCAAGACCCGGACCAAGACCAAGAGCGTAAGGTCGAGCGCCCCACCCAAATGCAGCAGGCCCCGGATTTTTGCTGTCCGTGTGGTGGATTCCTGGGGTGGAAGCAGATTCGATTGGGTGGGAAGAGTCTGAGCCGCAGCTACAGCGATCTCCGTGGGCTCGGAAGCCTCCAAGCAAAGGGCTGGGCATGGGAAGCCCAGGAGCCCCAGACTATGGAGCTTCTCCCACCGAAGGTCCCCGAGGTAGAGATTTTGCAGACCCCTCCTGGTAAATCCTCGTTGGAGAGGTTCCCGCCGGAGGTTCTTGGTAAGAACTCGCACTGCCGTTCTTGTTTCTCATGTGCTAACGTCTTGTAGATCAAATCATCTCTAACCTTGCCGTCGATCTTCCCCCAAATGGCTACGCCCCCCGCAACGTGGATTTGGTCTCGTGCCTGCTGACTTCCCACACGTTGCACGCTGCGACCTTGGGTGTCTTATACAGGAACATGACTTTCCCGCACTCCATCATTTTCTCCAAAGCACTGAATCACATGTCGCAGTATCCGGCTTTGGGAACATTGGTGCGCCGTCTGGACTTTTCACACTTCACGTCTGTCGGCCTGGGTCGTACTAAGCAGATGAACGCAGAAATTCAGAACCTGACCTCCAAGACCCTATTGCAGTGCTTGGAACTCCTCCCCAATTTGAAGGAATGCCTGCTGCAGGAACACCTAGAGGGCGACATCAGTGTAGAAGTGGTCCGGAAGCTCTTTATGGGGCTGCCGAACTTGCGCGCTTTGGATTTCTGCGGTTGCTCGACTCAGGCCTTCTCTGGGGTTTTCCAGGAGGCTTTGGTCAATGGGCCTGCGCTGTCCATGACTTTGCCGAACCTGAAACGGCTCTCGCTTCACGAATGCAGCGCTATTCCCGCTCCCATGTTCGACTACCTTCTCCCGCGATTGGTCAACTTGACACACCTCGACCTTACTCACACCCAGGTAAACGATTCAGCTCTCGTAGCCATCCCGGAAACTGCCCGTATCTCGCATTTGAGCTTGTCCCGATGCACGCGCCTGCGCGCCTGCGCCCTGGTTAAATTCCTTACCACCCACCCCTCGGTCAAAGAGTCTCTAGTTTATTTGAACCTGTTGACGGACCCGACCCGCTTCCGTCTGCTAGAAGAGACCGATGTGTCTGCTCTGCTGCCGAATCTGCCCGATACTCTCCGCTCCCTCAACCTGGGTGGAGCCAAGATCACTTCGGACCATGTACCATACTTGGTGCCTCTGACCAAGCACCTGGAGGAGTTGGGTCTCAGCTCTGCGGATCTCTCGGTTCCGGACGTCAACTCGTTCTTCAGTCGGTACCGCAACCCTGCCACGGGAGTCGAGATTGATACTCCCAGCACTCTCTGCTATCTCGATCTTGCCAAGGTGCCGCAGATGACCATCGGAGCCATCTTCAACACCAGCACTTGTTTCCTGCTCTCCGACAAAAGCTACCCCTTGCAGGTCGTTGAGTTCAGTGACAAGATTATCACCCCGCTGCGTGAGCGTGCGAAGACCCATCGCGCATCCGTTGGCTGGACTGTGCGAGACCTCGGCCGTCGTGGCTGGTACGTTCGCGAACCCTCCTCCATGCCCCACGAACCCCTCGACGATGGCGCCCGTTACTGGAAGATGGGTGCACGCTGGTGGGGTATGCGCAAGATCCCCATGGCCACCGGCGAGGTCGGCGGCCTCTACGGCCACTACATGTTCAAGAAATGATCTACTATGAGCGTTCTGTTCTCAAAAGCGTCTTCGCTGGATCCTTTTATCACTTGTTGCTGATACCCTTGATTTGATATCCTTTATTTTCATTTGTGTTTTATTGGAGGTCTCGCTTTGCTTATTGCTTTTCACCTTTTGCTTTTTGTTTCACGATGAATGATAATATTCGGTCTATGCATGGCGGCGCGCAACATGGTTTACGAATTTCGGCATTCTGGCTCCTGGCTTCGGGTTCGTGTTCTCGGTCGCGTTTTGTCTTTTGGTTTTGCATAGCATCTGAGATCTATCTCTTCCGGTGTCTGGTCTTTCTATCTTATATCTCTGGCTTCATATGGCGTTACTGTATTTATCGGGATTTTACTCTGCTCATAAATACCTATCTAGTCTCTACTTCATTCCTTATAAGTTCGGTGTCGTTGACTCGATCTGATAGCCCTGTCTTGCGCTTCATTGGGAAGGAGCCAACCACCATCCCAAATAGGCAATCACCTGGGACAACATTTCAGGGCACGCGCCCCTCCATTTTATTCTTTCTCACACAATTGTTTTGTTTTGTATTCTCAACCACCCTGCTGAACTGCACCTAGTCTACCACTCTTGGTCTACCACTCTTCAGCATGCTTCTATCACTCCAGTGCTCTGGTGGCAAGTTGTATTTCCATGCTCACCAAGAAACTCCAATTTAATCCAACCAAGAGGACCTGCTCAAATATCTCAAGGCACTGAAACCCCAGCCGGGAAATGAAGCATCCAGGGTTGACTCCCTCCTCCCTGTTGTCCACTTCCAAGTCCTGAAGAGACATATTCTCGAGTCCTCAACCTGGGACCCTCATCTAAGCGTGGGTCTTCTTACCTAAGTGTTTGCGCTAGTCCTGCCAGGGCTCGCGCATATGGGCTTCCTGTGTCTCCCTTTTGGTACGGGACGGAGAACAAGAGCATCACCTTCATCGCTGTGATGCAACCCTCTGGGACTTTGCATCACGATGAAGTCGCCGAAAAGATGATGGACCTTACGAGTGAGTTGTTTTATCATGCGTGCTCTCGTATGGCTGTCAAAACTAACCGAAGAAAAGAGTGGCTTCTCGCCGAGCAGAGGCTTCTGAAGAAAGAGCACATGATTGCACATGTGATTGCAACGGACGGTGAGATTGATTGCGGGGAAACCATTATGTTTCTCATATCCATCTTGGATGATGCTTTGGTTCCACTGAATGCCGATACGCTCCTCCCTTCCTCGAAGGCAGATGTCACCGGTAAGCCTCTTCATTCCAATTTCAGATTGTGAATGGATTGCATAGGCAAAGCTACAATCTCAGCGAAGAAAAATTCACCCCAAGTACTTATGAACTAGACACTGACAAAGATCGTAAAGAGGCGGAAAGCCGCAGAGATGAGAGACGTATGCAGGCAATGGCTGTGCGAGCAGGAGCGAATCTGTACATGAATGTGCTACAGCAACTGCCGATCCCGCTCAGCGAGGAAACGGAACGAAGGACTCTCAAGCGAATCGAGCTGGTGATGCTCGAAGCGTTGGCGAGCCCATTCGAGGTGATGCACGGTCGCATTGTCGGCGACGGCGTTTCTGACTGTGCAATCATATTGCTGAGGAAGTTCGACGCTCAGCTAAGGATGTTGCTGGCGGAGACTAGATTTGAGGACTTACAACAACGACCACCTAGTCCCCAAGAAAGAAATTCAAAAGGCAATCCTGCAGGAAGCCAGACCTGTCTTTGAGCAGATCGTCAAGGAGGAACAGGGAAAGAGGTTGGAGAGGTTTCTCAAGGATTGAAGGATATTTGCCATTTGACAACATGCCGTCCATGGCAATACTTCTCTCAAAAGTGATCTACATCGCTGGATGCCTTGCATGGGCTGGTGCCATAGTTGATTGTGATGAATTTTTTGTTTCTGTGCTCTTTTCCATAGGAATCTTTTTCTCTACCTTCTTCTCCTCACTTTGTAAGTCATTGATATCTCTATCTACTGCTATTTTTCAAAAAGGGCTTTGGCAATGTAATTTGTTCTCCCTTAGAATTGTTGTCATCTCATTTGAAGGTACAAAATAGTACGATGATGATTTAAACACAAACTAGTATTTCCAACAGGGCTATTCCAAACACGGAGATAAAGGAAACCACATCAGATATATATTTAATATAGAATTCCAGTTTCATTCACTTAGGGCTTGGCTCCCAGGTGACGCTTGGCAAACGTCAAACGTCAACGTCATGTGATGAATCGCAGAAGAGCCGCATTTCTCATTATTGGTTTCACCTCTACACGCCCTGTCTCTCACGAAGGTCTCAGACCCCCCTCGCCAACTTCCGCCCTTGGGGAATTGCTCATCCCGATGGGTGGATTCGTTACCGCCTTTGAAGACAGTGGAAGCTGTCCAGACACGCGACGATGTCACCTCCGAGCGGAGCGGCCTCTTACAAGAAGAAAGATGGGACCCTAGCTATATCCGCCGATGAGAAGTCGGTTTCATGGAGTCCTGCGGTTGCAGGGGCTGGGAACACGATCACAATCCCCGTGGTCAACATCACTAGTATGCACTCACCCCACCATGCACAAGGTTTGTCTCTTTGCTGACTCGCGCGACTGCTAGATCTACAACAGACCCCAGCCTCGAACCCGAAAGTGATGCTCAAGATATTTTCCCAAGCCCCCGATGCGCCCCCGAATAGTACCCCCGATCAATATGTCTTCCTGTTCACGGCTGGAGCAGACGCCCGCCCGCAGGCCGATGTCATCAAAGACACATTGAGTGCTCGAGTCAATGCGGTGAAGTCGGGCACGCCATCCCAGACGCCGGGAGCGAGAGGTGCGTCCGAGGGACTGTCCGCGGCGATGGCGATTGCGAATGCTGTGACGTCCGCCGGGACATCGAAGAACCCCGTGGACGAGGAGAATCGGCTTCGGTCAGACATAGAGCTGCAGCAGTCGCTGTTGCGATCTGATTCGAATCTGCAGCGGATGTTTTTCGAGGGGTTGCATACGAAACCGGAAGCGTTGTCGTCTGGGTCGTTCGTGTCGCAGTTTTGGTCAACACGGCTGCATTTACTGCGCGCGCACGCAATCGAACAGGGCCAAATACGTGGCTCGTATAATGTGCTGTCTTCGCTCAAGCCGCGAGTCGAGGATAATGTCACGCGGTTGAATATCAGCAAAGAGCAGATCCAGCTCATTTTCACGCAGCACGCGCTGGTCAAACGCGTGTACGATGAGAATGTACCAAAACTCAGCGAACAACAGTTCTGGTCGCGGTTTTTCCAGAGTCGGCTGTTCAAGAAATTGCGCGGTGAGCGGATTACGGAGGCTGATGCAACGGATGCCGTGCTGGACAAATACCTCCGGACGGATGAGGCTGCTCAGCCGGACCGCGACACGAATGTCCATCACTTTTTGGATCTGGCTGGTAATGAAGTAAATCACAGCCAGCGTAGCGGAAACCGGCCTGATCTAGATATGAGACCGTCTGGCCTCGACAAAGTGCCTATTATCCGGACGCTGAACAGCCTGAGTGAAAAGATCATGGCCAATGTGGCTCCGATTGACGGTGATATGAGTGCCCCTATAGGCATCAACGAAGAGGCATGGAAAAGGCTCCAGCTGCAGGATCTTTGTAGCGAAGAACATCAAAGTCCCATCACTCTGAACATTCGTGATCAAAGTCGTTTCTTCACTCATGGCCAAGAGGAGGATAAGACCAAGCAATTCGTGAAACAGGACCCGGAGCAGCTTCTGCAGCTTCTCCGTGCGGAGATCAACCAAAATCTCCCATCGCAGGGCAATACACAACTAGGCAAGCTGGTGGACCCCGGCGACGACGAAGACGAGGATATGGAGGATGCACCTGCCAGCCGTCGCCCTGTCGGATCATCTGCTGCTCTCCACGATGCATTTTCCCAGATCTTGGAAGCATTGCGTGAGCGCCGTGCCCAGATGAACGAGCGAGCAACGTCAGAAACATACGGGCTGTCGATAGCGCTCTTTGACCGCTTGACCTTGACACACGCCACGACCACAGAGTTCCTGCACCAGTTCTGGCAGGCGTTTCTCTCAGGCAACCCCGACCGCGCCGGAGAGGTCGCGTCTTTAGCAGAGTCTCTCCATCGAGCAATGGAGCGTATCAAGGCTGTTGCTAATGACGCAGAGGCTGAGCGGAAGGTCGAAGTTGACCGGCTGAAGAAGCAGGCCCGTGACATGTACGAGAGCACGGGGCGAAAATTGCGAGTCAACTTAGAAGGCGTGGAGGGGGGCCAGAAGGTCGTGAACCAGCTTCTTGGTCCTACGCTCCATGCACTGGAGGTTGCATCGACTCGATATCAAAAAGAATTGGCCGAACAAAATAAAGAAGCGGCCGTGGCTGCTCAAGACACGGCGGGGACATAGAAGGGAACAACCCAGGCGTTTGAGATTGGCGCATGGGATGTATAATATGATAGGTTATAAGAAGTTCAATGATTCATTCGTACAGAGAAACAAATCTCGATATCTCATTAATCTACATAACCAAGTTTGTCTACATAAATGACATAAAAATGATCACAGATCGGCATGCCGAGCTTCCCCGGACTTCGGGACCTTCATGCCATCTGTCCCCTCAACTAACTACACTAAACCTTCTCCAACTCCCCCTCTCCCCAAAATCGGATGATTCTCACACCAGATCCACACTGAAGAAAAAACAAGGGGCCTCAAGATGCTCACCTCCGGCCTCACAAATGCGCCCCTCACCAAAGCGCTCCTCATCTACACGATAGCCTCGTCCATCGCTCTCTCCCTCTTCGACATAAAACACCTCGTCGTGATCTATGTCTCGCCCCATTTCTGGCCCTACTCCCAGTTCTGGCGCGCATTGGTGTGGCAGGTCGTTGGCTTTACCAATTCCAGTGAGGCCCTCTTCGCCGCCATGCTGGTTTACCATTTGCGGGTTGTTGAGCGCGCGTGGGGGAAGCGGAAGATAGCGGTTAGTCTTTCTTTATCTTATTCCATTCCTGCAGCTATGCATAGACTATGCAACCATGTGGGAACGGAGAAGCCGAAGAGCATCATATGCGACCTATGCTAACAACGACAACTGCTCGCTAGACCTTCCTCCTCACCACACTACCCTATACAACTCTCCTCCCGCCAATTCTCCTCGCCCTATTACTCCGCCCTCTATCCCTAAACAACTTCAATTACCTCCCCTCCGGCCCAACAGCCACGATCTTCGCGCTGTTGGCGCAGTACCACGCCACCATCCCATACACATACCACTACCGCATCGGCTCCACATCCACATCCTCCCCCACCACAACAAACACCACTGACACCACCACCAGCACCGATCCCTCCGCTGAAAATACCACATCCTCATCCGACCCCAAACCCCCACCACCAAGCCTCTCCCTCCTCCTCTCCGACAAATCAACCACCTACCTCGTCGCCGCCCAGCTAGCCCTCTCCCAGTTCCCCGCAATGCTCCTCCCCTCAGCCGTGGGCTGGATCGTCGGTGTCGCCTGGCGCGCGGACCTGCTACCGGGTCTGTCGCCGGCGAGCACCGGGTTCCGCGTTCCGGCTTGGGTGGTTGGCGAGCAGGAGCGGAGGGGTGGGGCTGGAGCTGCGTCTGGGGCGGAGAGGGAGAGGTATGAGGATTTGCGACGGAGGTTGGAGGGGGAGGTTGCGGCTTCGGCTTCTGGGTTGGAGGGGTCTGGGGCGCAGGCTCAGAGACGGGCGAATACTGCTGGTGAGGGTGGTGGGTTTGTTAGTCGGTTGACGCGTGATTGGTAGTTTCGCTTGTTTTTTTCTGGATGAGCTTGCATGCAAGGCTTGTTGGGCATTTTCCATCTGGTATAGATGTATGATTGAGATGGTTATTGGGTCTTTTGTAGGAGGTGCTAGCCCGTCCTCAAAGTCCTATATTCGTATATTCATCATCGATTCATGTCGTGTCCCCCACGTTTGAAATCCCACCAATGCATAAGTATACAATACGATAATACTTGATCAAAGAAAGAAATGCATAAAGTCTAGAATATCAACTAGCAAGGCCGTATCTCCGCTAGATTATGTGCCAATTGAAAATACCACATAACGCCATATCATCAATGCATCATGTCTATAACCCTGAACGGAATATTACCGTCCATTGCGACTCCGTCTCATATTTTCCTTGCACTCGTTACAATACCATTTAACTAATAGAGACGAGACTGTTAGTAACCTGTATGATTCGAGGACAAAGAAAAAACTCTTACCATTCTTCCCAGGCGGTTTTGTCAAGCCCACACATGACAAATGGAACCATTCACGCGGACACGCGTCATTGTCGCAAGCAACCATCTCGCCGAAACTGATTTCGTTACAGTAACAGTAGCGCGGCTCGCCCTCCTCGTCTTCATCGTCGCCCTCGTGAAGCGACTCGTCGTCGGAGGGTATTGCAGGCTGTGGGATGGGCTTTTTCTGGGTTCGTTTGGTAGACGCTGGGTCTCGACTTCGCGTGGGTCGTGCGTGTTGTTGGCTGGGCTCTGTAAATGCGGGGAGGATAGGCGTTGATGTTTTGGAATTGCGTCCCTTGGTCGTCTCGACCTCGGCAGAACCGGATTTTCCATCCAGATCATCGCGCTTGGATCCTGCTGGAACGGATGTTCTACCGTTGGCATCACCGTCGTAGTCACGGTGTGGGTCTGCGTGAACAAGTTCGTTTTTGACGGGTCCGTCCCGGATTGTAGATCTGGAATCGGTAACTTTGTCTGCGCGGAGGACATGGTTAATTGATAGTTCCGGGGGAAGTGGTTGAAA